AGAGAGGGACGCGGGTGACGCGGATGCTGGGTGCTCAGTAAAAGCTAATATGCATACATACATACCTTTGCCTCTGATGTTGGATTCAACACTCCACAATGCTCCTGTTTGGCCTCCTGGTAGCGTTCTAGTATTGCCTCCATTCCGCTGATAAACACACACAAAACAAACACATACAAAATTAAGAGGTGATGGGAATAAGTAATTATGAAAGGATTAGGAGGGTGCTGGAACTAATTAATTAACTGACAGACCTGGAGCTCGCGAAGTTATAGAGGCGACCGGTGCTGGAGAAGATGATGAGTGCAAGATCGGCGTCGCAGAGGATGGCGAGCTCCCGGGCCTTCTTCATCAGCCCTCCGCGCCGCTTGGAGAAGGTCACCTGACGGTTCGTCGCGTTGTCGATCCTCTCAATCGCAATCTTTCCCCTCCCCATCCTTCTCTCCTTCTTCTTCCAGCTACCGGTGCTAATTGTTGCTTCTCTGCTCTCTAGTAGAAGTCAAATCTATCCTGCCGGCTGGCCGGTCGATTGAAGAAAGCAAATGGTGCTACCTAGGCTGCTAATTGTTGCTTCTCTGCTCTCTGGAAGTATAATCTAGCTAGTAGTTCAAACTTTCCTCCGAGATGCTACCTGATCCAGCTAGCTACTTTAGTATTGTTGGGTTTGCTTGTAATGGTCTGCAAACCAAAAGGGACCGAGAGGCCATGTGCAGACAACACTAAGCTAGGATTAAACAACTGGCTAAATGTCATTTTAATTGTTCATTAGGTTAATGAATGGCCCACCACGCACTATTTTCCTCGATGTCTGCGATAAGGACATCATAATATATTGTTGCGACTGTTCATAATTTAAACTTTGGGTACGAGAATAGCTTCGGACATGTTGCCATAACTTTAGCCATATAATATGGCGTCAGCTACCAATCCAGCAACTTTTTGTTCGAACCGTTGAAACAGATTTGCAATGGTATTAGGTACCTATTCAAAGTCATGGATTTGTTTCTAATTGAGGTTGGAGTGGTAACACCTACTCCGTTTCCTTGAGAGGCAAGTGGTTTCTGGTTTCTCGTGTGTCGCTTTCTTTAAAACCGTGTGCTCATACCATGTAATATGTGGGTGTACACTTTCGTGGACCCGATGTGCCCATATATATCAAGAACTTGTATGTGGGTGGTAAATTTTCTTCATAACTGTGTACTTATTATATCTTGGTAGATCTATCCAATTGGCATTATTACCTTGTAACCCGTGGATAGTATAGTACTTTTGATGCAGATGTCAGGGGTTTAACAATCATGAAGAAAACGTACTACCCATGGGTTACAAGGTAATAATGCCAAGAGACAATTGTCCAATTATATCACAACACGGTTGATGTATATGAAAGGCAACAAATGGCATGGCCTTTTCTCAACAATCGAGATACGACCGTTGATGCCAATGTTTGGCTTTAAGATGCGAGATCTTAGGATTAGGTGGTCATGGATCTACGGCAACAAATAAACTGCATCTTTTGTACGAATTGGCCACGTCGGGAACATTATGTTCACTCATAAATACCTCAATTTTAATTACTTTTTTAATGCATTTCTTGCTTGTGGTGGTAACAATATTCTATGTGAAGTTTGTATTCCAGACCCTTGGGAAAACTTTATTGGTTGAGATTTTGACCACTAATAATTGCAACCTTACTTATTGAGGTGGGTGTGGCAGGAACATTGTCATTTGGGTGCTAAAGGTAGCTGGTAGTACCATGTTGTTTAAGGTTGCTGGATTGGTGAGAATACATATGTTCTAGCTAGCTTTCCACTTGGCTCATCCAAAAAAGGACAGTTTCAAGGTTAGTCAAGTAAAGTGGCCACAAAGCACAATGCAAAAAATGTGCAGTCCACGCGGGTGACGGCGTTCCGATCTCGATTAGAGACAGTAATGGATGATTAATAAACTAGAGTAAAGACGATTTCCTTCCAGATTTGGTGCTCTGAGTCATGACACCACTTGATCTTTAGTATGTAGTCCTAAATGATGCACTGCAATCACTCTGATCTGCTTTGATTCTTCCCTTTTTTGCTGTATAAACCTTCAGGTGTTCTTGGATGAGTGGACAAAGCTGGAGCCACTGATGCTCACTGCTGCTTTCTTTTTTCTCAAGCTAAATTCAAGCATCTTTTTTTTCTGTCCAGTTAGCACTTGAAAAATACTTCAGATTCTTTATGAGTACAAATCCAAAATTTAAAAATACACATACATGGTGAAAACATTTGGAACAACCTAGCTTTACTTACAGGTGCGCGCGCACGCACACACACACACATCCAACTCACATATGACACTGCTAACTCAACTACCAGAAGAGGCTGTCAGGTTAAACAAATACTTGACATATAACTGGGTGCAATGCACCTTTCATATATACTCTGCCGTCGAGGGTAACATGTTGCATCTTTGTAGAAACATTCAATGCATAAGGCTAAAATAAACATCAAAGAGCACCATTAATCTCAACCCCCCAAAAAGTTTCGAATACAAAATCAAGCCACTCCAGCTAACTTGTTCTTTAGTTTCCAAGTTTTGTTCATGGATAAGCTTTATTTCCTCGGAGAGTTTAATATTCTGTTGATGCAATATATATCCCTAAAAGTTGACATTATTGAATTACCATGTATGGATGTAATATTCTAACTTATATTGATGCAAATTTCACACGATAATCTGCAACTGAGTAAAACTGCACACACCAATGATAGTAAAATGTGTGAACCATTTTATTGAGTTGTACAATATGGGTGGCAAGATATCAGGAGATACAGAGTTAGCATCATTCCTTCCAAAAACATGCGAGCGGTACACTTTCTTCATAATTGTGTACTTATTATATCTTGGTAGAGCTATCCAAATGGATCTCGACCGGTTACCATGTAAAACATGTAAGCGATACACTTAATTTATTCTAAACATATCTTGGTGGAGCCATCGAATTGTAACTCGGCACGTTACCATGTAAAATGTGGGTAGTACACTTTCTTCATAACTATGTACTTATATCCGGGTACAATTGTCAAATTATATCTGAACACGGCCGACATGGAAGACGAGAAGTGGCATGGTTTTTTCTTGACAACCGAGGTACAACTTTTGATGCCAATATCGTAGATATTCTGATGTGTAAGATGCCAAATCTTACCAATTAAGAAGTCATACATCTACCGCAATCAATAAACGCAGTTACGTCTTTGGTACAAATTGGGCACACGGTGAATCCTCTGTTTGCACATAAATACCTCTTTTTTAATACATTTCTTGCTTATGGTGGTTAAAATAATGTATGTGATGTTTATATTTCAGACACTTGGGGAAAATCAGTTGGTCGTGATTTGGAACCCCATAATAATTGTAGCCCTACGTATTGTGGTGGGCGTGGCAGGAACATTGTCATTTGGGTACTAAAGGTAGCATCCAAGTTATAAAAGGTTAGCTACTAGTACCATGTTGTTTAAGGTTGTTGCATTGGTGAGTACATATGTGCTAGCTAGCTTTCCATTTGGCTCATCCAAAAAAGGACAGTTTTAAGGTTAGTCAAGTAAAGTGGCCACAGAGCACGATGCAAAAAAGTGCAGTCCACGCGAGTGACAGTGTTACGATCTTGATTAGAGCCAGTAATGGATGGTTAAACTAGAGTAAAGACGATTTCCTTCCAGATTTGGTGCTCTGAGTCATGGCACCACTTGATCTTTAGCAAGTACTCCCTCCGTTCCGAATTACTTGTCTCGAAAATGGATGTAACTAGAACTAAAATACATCTAGATACATCCATTTTCGCGACAAGTAATTCCGAACGGAGGGAGTAGTCCTCAATGATGCACTGCAACCACTCTGATCTACTTTGATTCTTTATTTTTTGCTGTATCAGTGCAGCTGTATGTACCTTCAGGTGTTCTGGAATGAGTGGACAAAGCTGGAGCAACTGATTCTCCGTGTTGCTGCTTTCTTTCTTCTCCAGCTAAATTAATTAGATCATCTTTCTTTTTCCATCCTACTAGTTAGTACTTGAAAAATACTTCAGATTCTTCATGCATAAGTCCAAATTTTACAAATATACATACGTGGTGAAAACATTGGGAACAAGCTAGCTTTTATTTGCACACGCGTGCGCATACAAACACGGGCACATCCAACTCACATATGACACTGTTAATTCAACTACCAGAAGAGGCTACCAGGTTAAAAATACTAGACATATAATTGGCAGTAATGCACCTTAATACTTTTCATATATACTCTGCGTTGGAGGGTAACATGTTGCACCATAAAGCTGAAACCAACATCATGGAGCACCATTAATCTCAACCCCCCAAAATGTTTTCAATACAAAATCAAGTCACTCAGTTACCTTGTTCTTTAGTTCCAAGTTCCGTTCATGGATAAGCTTTATTTCCTCGGAGAGTTGAATATTCTGTTGATGGAATATATATCCCTAAAAAGTTGACATTATAGAATTACCATGTATGGGAGTAATGTTTAAATTATATTGATGTAAAAATAACACAGTAATCTGAAACTAAGTAAAATTGCACATGTTAATGATAGAAATATTGGCCAACTGTTTCATGGAGTTGTAGAATATGGTTGGAAAACTTTGTTCCTATGGCATTTATCAGGAGACCCGGAGTTAGCATATCATTCCTTTTTTAAAATGTTAGCATCATAATTATGGTGGAAGGGACGATGATCAACAAGAGTAAGTACAGACTGAGGGAGCTGTCTACCTTCTTCTCTCTCATACAACGTAAGCTCTGCTCCAGTTGATTTTCCAATAAACACAAGTCATTGACACCTAAGTTTGATAATCTCTCCCCCATTAGAGTTCTGAAATTCAAAACAATGTAATGACTTCAATGCCTTTTCCAGTTCGCTACTCAAGCTTTTTTTTTGAAGTCGTTACTTAAGCTGATTCAAGTTAGAGAGATAGTACAGGAATTGAATGAAGAACTTATACCGATTATGTTCTTGAAGCATCTGCATTTCCTGCTGTAATTTCCGTACTTCCCCTTCTCAAAACTAGCAAAGAAAATGAGAATTTGTTCTATTACCAGATACATTGAGTTACCGCAAATCGTTACAAATTAATGACACAATTAAATGGTTCAGGAGTGGTACTACCATAAGTATTTGCCAAATAGGCATAACGAATATTTTCCTTGGCTTACGGTGTATGCTAAAGTATGTTCATATATGTAAATACCAGCAAGAGAAGTAAAGTATATGCTTATAAATACTTAGTGCAATTTCTCTAATTTCACTATCAATATAAAAAAATACCAAGGTCGGTCAAATGAACATAATATCATTATATTTTTCATGACAACTATTTTACAGTTCGGTAATTTTACCAACTTTATTGGATGAAAAGATAACTGTCAAAGTTGCACCTTGAAAATTGTCTTCGCCTAAGACATGGAACTTTGGGGGTAGTAGTTAACAAGGTTACGAGGAGGCAATTAATATGCGTGCATACCATGATTTGTGACACTGGATTCAGCAGCTGCTGGTGCTCCTGTGCAGATTGGTACTTATGGATGATGGAAGGCATTCCCGTGGAGGCGCTGGTGGTGGAGCTGGCATACTCGTAGAGGCGACCGGTGGAGGAGAAGACGATGACGCCGACCTGGACATCGCAGAGGATGGCCAGCTCACGTGCCTTCTTCAGCAGGCCATGACGCCGCTTGGAGAAGGTGACTTGCCTGTTGCTCATCTTCTCAATCCTCCTAATCACAATCTTCCCCCTAGCCATGATAGCTCTTCGATCTCCCTAATTAATTGATTACTCTGTGTGTGTGTACCGTACGAGGTTTTGGAATCCCTATATATATGCTCTTTCTAATATCCCACCAGAGATCGCTGTTTTGAAATACAAAGCGGGGGGAAACCCTTTTTCGATAATTATCCCACCAACACTCACACTATATATGCTAGCTAGGTAGCTAGATCTTCCCTTCAGTGGTCCAATAGATGGTTGTGTGTGTAAGCATGCATCTGCAGACCCCTATATATGAATGAACCGGGTGAAAACTTGGTGCTCATCCAAACATGCAACTTGCAGATTAACAATTTTATTTTGTAATGAGCAAAGGAGGCAGAGTGCATGGTGATCAATGATCTTGATCCCATCATTTCCTTAATAAATAGTGTAACTTGCTGCAATCCCTGGAGACTGTGAAGGGGCAGGGAATCCCTTCAACAATAGTATTTTGTGTACCATACGAGGTTTTGGAATCCGGTAAACATCACGCCTTGTATCAATATTTTTGCACAGTTAGGCTCTCGATCCACACAAATATCGGAGCAGATTCCGATTCGAATGGATTCCTGCCAATGCGCAAGTAGCACCACTTTGTCGTCAGCAGTACTAATTCCAGAATGGAATCACAAGTTAATTATACACTCCCTCCATTTCCTTATACAAGGCCACTACGAAAAACACATTTTGCATCTATACAAGGCTACTAACATTAATCGAGGCAAAAATTAATAATGTTTCCTCGTGCTAGCAACTTGTTTAATACTTGCATGCATGTAGTCATAATGACACTGTGCTACTTCCTTCTTATTCATTTGTTGCATGCATGCAGCCGTATTAATGATCTCAATTAACAAAAAGAAAAGTTGGCTTACAAAACAGTCATTAAATTTTACCTTGGTAGTTGTAATCTGAGTTTGTGGCTTTGTATAAGGGAATGGAGGGAGTATATAGGGTATTGACCCATCTGTTTCAAAAGATAAGGCTTTGACAAATAGTTAACGTACATGATTGTTGAGAGTACTGGTGTCCCCTAATGATATCAGAAGTGAAATATGCATGGGCTAATAGCTGATCTTCTTAAAGTTTACTGAACTGAGATGGCGCTGTAGGCGCCAAAGTTTGCCCCTAACAAACGCATATAATTATGTCAAGTTCACGTTAGGACAAGGCCGCCAGCACAAGATTTCGCGCATGAGTTTGATGCAAGTATAGATGCTTTCGGACGCCATTTGATAGTTATGCCCAAAAACTCAATTAGCACACACATATATACCAAGGAGAAAGGCCAAAGTTTAGGCAGAAACAGAAAATTCAGATGACTGAGAACACCACATATTAGGACAGATGTGCATCTTATTCGTCCGACTGAGCATAATTATAAATATATATAATAGCTAGGGTCACAAGTTCTGGAAAACTTTATTCGTAGAGCATGGTTTGATAATTCTAGTGGACAATATCTTTAGCCAGGTGATGGATTCGAAAATCCTAGTGCACATGCATGATGAGCTCATGAGCTCATGTGGTTGTGTGGTCATCGTAGAGGCAGCTCAAGGAGGAAAACCAACTTGATCCATAATGGGACAAAAGGGGCAGTACACAACATTCATCTCACACAAAGATAAGGCTTTGACAAATAATTACTACATGATTGTTGAGAGTAGTGGGTGTCCTCTAATGATATCAGAAGTGAAATATGCATGGGCGAATAACTGATCTTCTTAGATTTTCTGAACTGAGAGGCGCCAAAATTTGCCGCTAACAAACACATATAATTACGTCAAGTTCATGTAGGACAAGGCGCTAGCACAACATTTCGCGCATTGGATGAAAGTATAGATGCTTTCGCACGCCACTTGATTGTTTTGCCCTAAATATTAATTAGCACACATATATACCAAGGAGAAAGACCAAAGTTCGGACAGAAACAGAAAATTCAGATGACTGAGAACACCACATATATTAGGATAAATGTGCATCTTGTTCTCCCGACTGAGCATAATCAAAAATATATATAATAGCTAGGGTCACAAGTTCTGGGAAACTTTATTCGTAGAGTATGGCTTGATAATTCCTAGTGGACAATATCTTTAGTAAGATGCTTGATTTCAAAATCCTAGTGCACATGCATGATGAGCTCATGAGCTTGTGTGGTTGTGTGGTCATCGTAGAGGCAGCTCAAGGAGGAAAACCAACTTGATCCACAAGTGGACAAAGGGGCAGTACACACATTCATCTCACAATGAGTGTCTTCTAGCCACACCTTTATATCTCCAATTTTGCTATCCTCAGTTGACTGAAGTTTTAAATTTGTGTCAGTCCATTTCATGCAAAGCCCCGAGGCCGAGTCAGGAGTGACATGGAGCCGGGATCAACTGTTAGAATTATTGTGATTTAGATCATCTATTATATCCAATAATTTCTAGGAAAATCCCATAGGCCCATGTGGCACGTTCATGCATGACAAGAAAGAAGCTACAATTTTTGCGCTAATGGAAAATGGAACCTAATGGTGGTGAATGATGACATTCATCTCCTAATTGATGGTATCAATATTTTGGTTTCGGTTTCATTTCTTCATTATTACACTGGTTTCTTCATACAGTGCATATTTTGTCATGCAAGAACTTGAAACGATTTGTCTACTAATGGGAGATGAAACTGACCACTTAATAGGATATTTAGTGCGTCTGTTTCTCCTCTCATTAATGAGTATTAGTGCGTCCATTTCAGTTTCATATCGTTACTCCTATAAGAGTTCGCTCCACTTCCCAACGAGATACAACTCCTCGCATTGTTTCATAGCATTGCACCGCCTACCTATTTCCCATCTCGCTTCCTGACGTGCACCGGAGAGTGAGACAACAGGCCTCTGAAACACCGCCTATTGTGATCCGGTATGGGAGGGTGGCGATTAGGTTTTTGGGGAGCGTCCTTGTGCGACTGCTAGATTCTTGTTCATCATGGCTGCGAATGGCGACATCACCAACGACGAGTTCCCCAATGACGACTTCTGCCGCGACGTCAACGACGATCGGGACATTTGCACCTTCTACTACTACGCCGTATGCCATCTTATCCTCACTGTTAGGGCTAGCATTTGGTTTATTGCTAGTAGCGATTAACATGGATATGATGCATTTTGCTTATGATTTTGATTGCATGACTAGTCTCAATGAATTGTTGCTAGTTTCTAGTTTCACCACTATATTGCTATTCATGTTTTATCCTATTTTTCTGGATTAAACTAAACGGGAAAATTCCTAACTATTCAACAATTCAAAAACCTGATGTGTGTAGGCAATTTTCTCCAATTGCATTTGCTGCTACTCATAAGCCTTCTGTGTTCGACGGTGTGAACTATAAGAGGTGGCGACCGAGGGCAGTTCTTTGCCTTACCACCATGAACTATTTTCACGCCTCTAAGGGCAAGCCAGAAGGAGAGCTAACTGATGAGCAGGAGCAAACTTTCCAGGCTATGGACACCCTCTTCCCAGGTGCTGTTCTGAGTGTTCTTGGCAACAAGATTGTCGACCCCTTCATGACCATTGATACGTCTCCAACGTATCTACTTTTCCAAACACTTTTGCCCTTGTTTTGGACTCTAACTTGCACGATTTGAATGAAACTAACCCGGACTGACGCTGTTTTCAGCAGAACTACCATGATGTTGCTTTATGTGTAGAAAAGAGAAGTTCTCGGAATGTCCTAGAAATCCACGGAGGCACTTTTTGGAATTAATAAAAAAATTTGGCGAAAGAATTAATTCCAGGGGGCCCACAGCCTGTCCACGAGACAGGGGGGCGCCCCCCCCCCCTAGGGCGCGGCCTCCTATCTCATGGGCCCCCTGGACCTCCTCCGACCTCAACTCCAACTCCATATATTCCGTCTCGGGGAGAAAAAAATCAGAGAAAAAGTTTCATCGCGTTTTACGATACGGAGCCACCGCCAAGCCCTAATCTCTCTCGGGAGGGCTGATCTGGAGTCCGTTCGGGGCTCCGGAGAGGGGGATTCGTCGCCGTCGTCATCATCAACCATCATCCATCACCAATTTCATGATGCTCACCGCCATGCATAAGTAATTCCATCATAGGCTTGCTGGACGGTGATGGGTTGGATGAGATTTACCATGTAATCAAGTTAGTTTTGTTAGGGTTTGATCCCTAGTATCCACTATGTTCTGAGATTGATGTTTCTATGGCTTTGCTATGCTTAATGCTTGTCACTAGGGCCCGAGTGCCATGATTTCAGATCAGAACCTATTATGTTTTCATGAATATATGTGTGTTCTTGATCCTACCTTGCAAGTCTATAGTCACCTATTATGTGTTATGATCCGACAACCCCGAAGTGACAATAATCGGGATACTTCTCGGTGATGATCGTAGTTTGAGGAGTTCATGTATTCACTATGTGTTAATGCTTTGGTCCGGTTCTCTATTAAAAGGAGGCCTTAATATCCCTTAGTTTCCGCTAGGACCCCGCTGCAACGGGAGGGTAGGACAAAAGATGTCATGCAAGTTCTTTTCCATAAGCATGTATGACTATTTGCGGAATACATGCCTACATTAAATTGATGAATTGGAGCTAGTTCTATATCACCCTATGTTATAACTATTGCATGGGGAATCGCATCCGGCATAATTATCCATCACTGATCCATTGCCTACGAGCTTTTCATATATTGATCTTCGCTTATTTACTTTTCCGTTGCTACTGATACAACTACTACAAAAAACCGAAAAACATTTATCTTTACTGTTGCTACTGTTACCATTATTGTCATACCACTTTTGCTACTAAACACTTTGCTGCAGATACTAAGTTATCCAGGTGTGTTTGAATTGAAAACTCAACTGCTAATACTCCAGAATATTCTTTGGCTCCCCTTGTGTCGAATCAATAAATTTGGGTTGTACTTCACCCTCGAAAGCTGTTGCGATCCCCTACACTTGTGGGTTATCAACCATCATGGTGGGTACGGATATGTG